CAGCAGGAAAAGGGTAGCAAAACCTGTCCCCTGAGCACCTGATTGCCTGCCAATGCAGTAACAGGGTCTTGAAAGGTGTTTTAAGAGGCAAGGTCTTGAGAGACATTGAGAATCCACTGCCAACCATCTCTGCAAAGAGTTCCTGTGGGTACCCAGCTCTCTTAAGATTTAGTTGCCCAGCCCAAAGATTATCCTTTCTTCCCCCAGCTGATGCCTCTCCTCTGAACTTCATCCCTTGCTCCCACTTTCCAGCTTTCACAGGCTCCCTCCTTCTGACCTTGGATCCCCCCATCCACCCAAAGGAAGTGCCCTTCCTTCCTTCCTCCACACAATCTCCCACCCCACGGGACTCTGCAGGATGGGAAGCTGGAGACCAGTAAAGTACTGGGTCTCAGCAAGGAGCCTGAGAGGGGGAATAAAGAATGAAACTGGAATTTGATGAGGACGCTAGGACAAGGACATTTAACTGTGTTAGAAACTGCAGTGACCATTTAAGATCAAAGGAGCCTTGGTTTGGGGGTTTTCAGCCCAGAAAGAAAGATGCCACCTGAACACCCACAGCCACACAATGCAGCAAGGAGGCAGGATTAGTCCCACAGACCCGGGGTTTTTAATTGGCATGTGCACAGCCCTGTCCCTTAGAGTGCCGCCTTGCTGGGAGAGATATGCAATGAAACAAGCCAGGAGCTTATTAAAGAATATTCACAGCAGATCACCCCCCTCGGAATACTTAGCTATTGAGTGATATTGCTGTCTCATAGGGCCAGTCAAGCACTAACCCAGGCTTGTTTAATAAACTATTCTTGTATGATAACAAGGAATAGCCCAAACCTTAAAACCTCTGTGCTACAGGCACTCAGAACGGTTGCGTCTCTGCTGCAGAGCAAGGTGTAGCTGAAAAATGAGGATAAGGATCTCCCCTATGCCATTTCAGACCTCTACAATCCACATGTTCACAGGTGGTCTTTTGTTGGTCTTTGAGACCACAGGAGTACCACCATCCCAGCCCTCCGTCTTCCAGCCTAGAGAATAAATGCATCAAAGCAGATAATCTCTCTCTGCCACTCATTTCTTAATGCCTCCCTGGTTCTGTCTTCTAGGTATAACAAGTGGGGAATACTTGATGGATGGATGTTTGCACTGGCTGACAGACCATAAACTTGCGATTCTTGGAATCCACTGTCAAGGCCAGCCAGGCTGTCACACCACAATAGGAGCACGCTTGCTTCAGCCAGTGAGCAGAGAGGCTGGCCTGTCATTTCAGAGAGATTTTGTATTTATTGCTTTGTACCAGATGGATGGATGGACAATCTTATAGTTGTGACCTAAATCAACATTGTATATTAAATTCAGCCCTTGGATAGGCACTCAATCTTTAAATGGCAGCATTACAAAGACAATGCTCTGAGGGGGGTTGGGGGGGAAACGTGAAAACTTTTCGTTCTGCTCTCGTCTCTCTTTTCGCCAGAGTTGGACCTGCTGGGGTCCACTCAGCCTCTCAAAATGTAATTCTCCAGTGAGAGCTGGTATCGCCATTTAATAGAAATACTATCCCCAGCTGTCTCCTTGGTCAGCACACCTCAAACCATTTTAGCATTGCTTCCTCTAACTGGTGTCTGAAGGCGCCAGGAGCCAGTTCTGGTCTACAGCCTTGTGCTGATCAGCTGCCCAGCCTCAGATAGGAGAACAGGGAAATGTGTGTTTCACCAAGCTCTTAAAACAGAAATACTTAATCCTATAAAAGGAAAAGCTATATTTAAAAATACACAGAATGCCAAAACTAACAAAGTAACGAATCGAGACAAGGTCATGCCTGTAATCCCTCTCCTCTCTCCAAACAGCACAGTGGGACAGCTGAGCAGGATGAGAGAGAAATGAGGGAGAAACTCAGAGAAATACTTAAAAGTAACGGCTGATCCAGAGCACACGGGTTGAGCAAGTTGTTTCCTCTTTCAGAATATGTGAGCAGGGCAACACTCAAGAAAACTCAAAGCTGATAATATTAAAGACTTAAAAGAGAACAGGTAAAAAGACGCCAGGCTACGCAATCTCCCCTCAATCACTTTTCCACAAAATATCACCAAAGCCAAGGATCCAAACCGCAAATAATAAAAGCACCATGCGTTCACAGGAACGAGAACATGCTTGAGTGGACTGCAAATGTCCAAAGTATGAAGAATGCAGAAATTCACAATGGAAAAAGTCAGCATAGCGCAACAGAGAGCCCAACCCGCAGCGGTGGTGAGCACTGCTGACCACCAGCATCAGCAGGAGTCATGGAGCAGCAGGTCTCCTGCCAGCGCCACTGCTGCCTCCCGGGATGCTGACGGCAGGCACGAGGGGAACTGCTGTCCCCAGGGGATGCCCCTCTGTCACTGCTGCTCCTTTGGGAGGCTCTCAGCAACAACACACTCTGGCCAAAAT